GAGCAATGTTTCTCAGGTGAAATGAAGCCCACATGCCAAAATTCAGCTAGTTTTGAGCACTTTCAAAAATGGCCGAAAAATCCAGGGGACGTTCTTGCATACGGCCTTTCATATGCTCCCTCATCATAGGCCTGCAATGCGTGCAGAGAGCTAGATAATAAAGCTCTGAGGGAGATAATTATTCGCTCTCAATTTCTATGCGTGATAGTTGACTTGGGCTGCACCCTCGTCAACTATCACGCAATAGAAATCTCAAGCTAATTGCTTAATAGATCACAGAAGATGTCAAAATGTGGCAAGAACATAAGTGACACGCACACATAAAGTCTAATTGCCAATGTTTTGTTCTTACAGCATTTTGAAGTCATCTGTGATCTATTACTGAACAGACCCAAGACAATAAAGAATCTATTTGTCAATTATACTGTAGTAGAAATTAAATAGTTTCTGAACTCCAAATTGAGCAGCTGGCTGGGGTCTTTGGGTTGTGTTCTAGGGGTAACCCTGCAGTGAACTGCCATCCCATCCAGGGGTGAGTAGAAACACTTCTAGTCACGTCATGCTACAGAAACTGCTATAGCTCTGGCACCTATGTGTCACTTGGTCTGATGCAGACTTCAACTAATAGAAACATACAATGTCAGTAATTATATCAATATCATGTGTCAGTCATACCATATATCAGACTTGTACTTGTATCCTTCATGTTTCAGCACTTCAGGACTCATGTAGTACGGTGTACCAGTGAATGTTGTCGCCATATCTGATGTACCCATCAAAATTCTTGAAATACCAAAATCACCTGAAAAAACAAAATTAAAGATCATGACTGTGATTTTTATTGTTATCAACTTAAACATTTGTGTAAATAACATGCTCATAAATGATCCAAGTGTAAGCCACATCTCTAGTGTATTTAACATTTAGCATATAGTCTCAGGATGTATCTTTACATGTGGATGTCTTAGTAGTTAACAATTATTGATTCATGCATTAGCATGCATCATAGGGTCACTATGCACCCCGGAGGTTTGGAGAGCAAACAGGAAGGGTAACAGTTGCTTGAGTGCTATTCAAACATCTCAAGTGCGTCACAACTCGCTGATGCACAGCTAAAAGGTCTAGAACATTGCCATGGAATTAAATTTGTGTTGTAAGTTAAGTTAGCTTTGCTCGGGCCAGGTATTTATGACGCACACTACGTATAGTAAGTATGCTTTGCTAGATATGTTATAATTTGCTGCATATTCCTTAAATGAAAAAACTGAACAAAATAATAAAAATACAATAGATCTCATGTGAAATTATGAACTATTGGTCCAAGGTACCCATTTAGTGCTTCTGATAAGCTTGTTTGAACTGCAACGTACCTACCTAATTTGATCAAGTTTTTCTTGAGGAAAATATTTCTGAAACAGAAAATATCAGTGACTATTCTTATTGGTGATATCTTGAACATCTTTTCTAACAGTAACAATGATTTCTGGGTCACTCTATTGGCAATAACTTCAGTTAACAGTAAGTTGTAGACACAAAAAAGGCAGTTAGGTAGAAAGGATTTTGGGGTTATTTTGGTCCTAAATTTTCATCAAGCTCTTTAACTCTAAGAGATACTCTGGGGTGTTTCTATCTGTTCACATTTGATCCCAGGAAAAAAGGCAGAAAATTACAATTATGAGTTTTTCCACAAGGTGTTTGTTTCTGGTGTCAAATTGCCGATTCTGTTTTTCTCAAGGATTTCTCAATCTCATTTCTAATTCATCATGTTTAAACAAAGGGAATCACGATGATGACGATGTATGGATACCTGATCTTAATAAGCATAGATTTTCACGATTTTATTTCTCCGTTTTCTCCTTAGTTTCAGTTTTTATTAAGAGTATATATCAAACACTCATGGCAGCGTTAAACCACATTTCCAAACACCTTAAAGTTTGTCAAAAATACTCCGCTGTCATATTTTCAACTCTCCTCCCAGTGTTTGGAAATGTGGTCAAACATGGTCTTTTATGTTTGATAAATTACCTCCCCCCACCCTATCACCAATTTCAGATGCAGTGAAGTACCTTGTCTTTAAGTCTCTGTGTAGAATTCTCCTGAAATTAAACAACATAGTGAATATTACATTTAATGATCCTAAAATGTTCTAATAGTCATAGTCATAGTTCTAAAGTTGTCAGTACCAGTAAACAGTAGGTCGTGGTTTAATAATGATTTAATCCAGCCATATTGGACAAAAAGCACTTGAAACTAGTACAGATCCTGAAACCAAGTGGTACACACCATAACTCTTCATCATAAAACACAAACAACATATCTCAAGGGAGAATGACTGGGATCCATATCAAGAAAAACTCTGCTGAAGTCTTGAGTAAGGCTAAGGGCAAAGGTACAGTTTTTCTCCATATGGACTACCCAAAGGCAGTAAATGAATAATGCTAATACTGGTCAGGTATGTTCCTTAAGATATCAAGCATGTTTGTAACTGAATCAGACATCAACAGACAGTACATATTGAGGTTATTTAGTAGAAAAGTCAGGAAAAAAGTTCCAAAGTAAAAAACCGAGATGCATAGGAAGGTTTAGATATCAACAAATACTTTTTTTAATATGTGTGTGGGTTCTTTAATGTCCCCTGCTGACCACGTAACACTGAAGATGCAGGAGACAGGGCCTATGGTTTATAGTCCTTATCCGAGAAGACTTGAATATCTGACCATTTACAGATGTAATAACAAGGGCAGCACATTCTCCTCAGTAATTTTAAGACCCTGAGTGTTGGTCCGGTCTGGGGCTTGAACCCTCAACCTCCCATACAGCAGTCTGGCGCTCTACCAACTGAGCTAACCAGGTGGCAGTCTCCCAGAAAATTGAGTGTTCTGCATCAGGTTATGTAAATCAGAAGGAGTCCCTTTCAACGAATCATACACCTTATTCCAAAATGACCGCTATTTAAGTATTCTTTTGTTTACTTGCAAATTAGCCCTTGTTGCCTCGTTCTGAAACTCGAAATTCGAAAGAATATATTCCCTTAAACGAGGCAACACAGGCTCATTTTCAAGTAAACAAAAGAATACTGAAATGTCGGCCATTTTGGAATAAGGTGTATAGCATGCGTTATATCTAAACAAAATTTTATAAAAGTTGATAGAACCTTGGCGTTGGTCTGATTGAATAATATTTAACTTATGTGTGATGTAAAAATCAAACTCTTTAGGAATTATACTTACTGTTCATGCATGAATTTGACAGCTAACACTAACTGTATAAACCAGGCCAAAATTAATGACTCGTCAAATCTCTTCCCAGCTTTTTTCCAAGCCTTGATTTTGTCATCCAGGTCACCTCCCTAAGATAAATGATAATAATAAAAACGCATCATTATAGCAATTGAACAACTGGCCACATTGGCACTAACTTCCAACTAGATAGATACCACTCACACAGAAAAATCATTGCATTTGAGAAGGTAGAGCTGCTCAGTTCTTAACCTGAGTGGCATCAACCCTTTCGAGGACAACAGTACATCAAAAAAGATCTGATTGAACACATGATAACAGTCCAGGTAATATCTCTCTCAACTGTGATACATTTTCTCTCAATTAGAGGTAAGAACTAAGACTACTCTAAATAAAATAGCTCTAAAAGTTGAAAGCTTACCTCACAATATTCCGTAACAATACAAAAGAATTCTCCATCGACAAAACTGTCCAAAAACTTTACGATGTTGGGATGATTAAGCTGAAAATTAAAAATGCATTTGAACAATTGACAGATTCTACATCAAAGTCTTGACTACCTTTTTACAGACAGTATATATGCAAACTGTTTTGGAAATATTGATTGACAGATTCTTGTTTGCAGGTTAGCCTTCATCTCACTTCAGAATATGTAGGCCCTTTGCAGCTAGGGTCATGTGACAAAATTTTCCAATAAAGAATGCCAGAAATGGAAAGAGCAAATCGAAAATACCAAAATGGCCAAGTTTGAGGACCCTAGCATTAAAGAGTAAATTTATATGCCATTTTGAATTTTCGGAAAATTTCAAGGATATCTAAAGAAAATGTTGCTGGAGAGCAAGATCTTGCACTCCAACATTTTTTCACACAAATCTTCTTAGTTTTTAAAAATTCAAACCATCATAAAATCTCATTCTTTAATGCCAGGGGCTTCAAACTTGGCCATTTTGATATTTTTAACATGCTTTCTCCGTTTCTGGCATTCTTTAAGTTGCAGCCCATAATTTTCTGAAAAGTAGATCACGCAATGGCTTAGCTGCAAAGGGCCTATTGAAAACTTATGTTAAAGGGGCTAGGTCACGCAATTCTAGGCAATTTCAGCACTGATCAGATGGTCATAGAATTAACTAAAATATCATAAAAACAGCTCAAAACTATAGAAGATCTCAAACAAAACACAGGAAAGCCAAGAAGGGACATGGATGAACAGACCTGGAGAGGATTAAAATGGATTGCATTTGGGTAAATACGTAAAAACGTTGGCCTACCTTTTTTCAAATTTATATCAGTTTATATCAGAATCATTCTCAGTTGTTAAGTGGTCATGATTTTGCAAATGGCTCTGCCAATTTGATGTTTAGAGCTCATAATTAACAAAATTAAACAAAATTACATAAAATAGCATGACCTAGCCCCTTTAAATTTGTGCCACGCAATCCTCCCATATGGATGGCGCCATTTTGCACCATTGCATTACACTGCTGCCAAACTTTGCCAAATGCCAGTTGAACAATGGTGAGTGATAGGGATATTAAATTCACTAATGCCAA